ATTTGATTAAGGTTTATTATATTTAAACCTTACCGTTTCTGAAATATTTTCAATTTTGTGAAGTTGCAGTAAAAATTTTAAGGCTTCATTTCTCCAGGGGTATCAAAGTTTTTAATACTAAATATTTACTGAAGTTTATTTATTGATCAGTTATTGTGTTGCAATAATAAAAATAATACTACCTTATACAGAGTGTCTAAAAATTTATTTTAAATAATTATTAGCTTCAAACGGCAAAAACTTGTTTAATTTAAATGCAACACCCTGTATATTTTACGAGAATCAGATGCACAATTAAATTGTCTATCAAATTATGTTATACCATTTTTTACCGTAAGTTTCCGTAGGAAATGCATTTTCTTGTAATTTAGAACTTATTTATCAATATACCCATGGAATATTGACATTTTAGATTATTTTTAAAGATGTACCAAATTTTTAAAGAATACAGATACTAATATTGTCGATATAATTTGTTTATTTCACTAAAAAATAAAAAAAAAACTGTTTAAATATTTGTTAAAGAGGACCAATTAATATGATTCCAGTATTCAAACTACATGAACTGACTGTTTGCGTTGATTAATAATAATTGCTCCAAATACTAAAAAACTGAATTTTGTATGGGTATTAGACAGTGTGATAAAAAGTAACACCTTAAAAATGATATTTCATTTTTTAATAAATGTTTATTTATAACCACAGAGACTTTAATTTTGATAACTTATTATTATATTTATTTCTGACTCAAATCCATATTTATTTATAATAATTTATTAACGAACACAATTAAGTATGTAATTAATTAGTATATGGGCGGAAATAATGGTGTTATATTTAATTAATGGTATACTCTTTTATAAAGATTTAAATAGTTTTCTTTTTGCATACAAATGGGCTAGTAATATTATCGTTTTGCTAAAAACGATAATATTACTAGTCTGCACATTTTGTACATTTGTTGCTTTAAAAACAATCTAAAATGTCAATATTCCATGGATATATTGATAAATGAGGTCTAAATTAAAAGAAAATGCATTTTCTACGAAAACTTGAAGGGATACGTAAAAAATGGTATAATACAATTTGATAGACAATTTAATTGTGCATCTGATTCTCCTAAAATATACCGGGCATTCCATTTAAGTTAAAGAAGTTATTGCCGTTTGAAGCTAATAATTATTTAAAATAATTTTTTTCTATACTCTATACTAGAGTAAAACTACACAGTTCTATTGTAATTTTATAAATTTATATTTTTTATGTTGTTACATACATAATAATTATTATACAATTAGTATTTTGTTCTTTTATGATTAGTGATGAATCTGGTCTTGGTCTTGTGGTCCTGGCATTGCACAAAAAGCAAGACAAAGACAGAAAACAAGACCGACCAGTGCAAGATTTCTGCAAGATCAAGACCAAACAAAGCATGTAAGACTCTTGCGGTCTTGCATTATTTTTCATGTTTATTTAATACAAGAAATTACTTATTTGTTCATAATTATTGTTTTAAATTTATTACAAATAATGTTTTTTTTCGATTATTGTATAAAATTTTAGAGAAAGAATTTCAGATTATATTATACTGGATATATTGAAAAATATAAATTTTCGTGAAACAAATAATATTCTAATATTTTTTTTTCTTTAAAGATTTATTTGTATTAAATTATTATTACAAAATTTCTACAAAAAATCTTTAAATAAAATGCTATTTATTTAAAGATTCTCTATGTGGAAGTGCATCTAGTAAAAATGTATTAAAAAAATGCAAAACCAAGACTACTTATTAACTACAAGACCAAGACCAACGGAGTCTTAATCTTGTTCTTGCTTTTGCTCATCACTATTTACGATCCCATAGTACCGTATGATAAGATCGTTGACATTCCCCATATATCTTCATTTCATAGCCATCGCTGACGCCGTTTTTATTCGATCATACGGTATTAATATTGTATATTATGTTTTTATATACAGGATCGCTATTATGTATGGAAACGGTCGATTATTAGGTAAAATATAGGAGGTAGCGCAAAAAGTTTAATACAGAAGTTATATGATTTTTAAATATTTATTAGCGAGTAATAAATTTATGTATACAGGGTCGGTCATAAAGTCGTGGCACATCAATGTTTCTTTTTTTTAATGGAACCTCCTGTATATTATTGCATATTTCAATTCTTCCTTCAATTCTAAGCAAAAATCGAAGTACATACAATGTACCTCAAACCAACCGTTTCCGACTTATTGACTTTTGAAAATATCACTTAAACCATTTGATTTAATTAACTTCGATATGTTCAGTTTCATTTAACGATGCCATTCTGCCAAAACTGTGATACTTGATAATATTTGACATTAGTTCTCAAGTTTGCATTTATAGATGTATAAAATGAGATTATATCAAGTCTGGAAATTACAAAATTTAAGTTTAACATTTCAATTCTTCAATTTATGTACAGGGTGGTCGAAATTGCTCTGTTTTAACAGAGAAAACCTATTTCCTGACTAGATAGAGCAAAACCGACACAGATGTCATGGGTTCGATTTCTGAGACACGTTTATGACGCTGTTGATATTTTCACTGCCAACTGAGATACTGGATCTTTTTGTATTTTTTACCATTTGGAAAATTGCCCATAACTTTTGTATTTCGCAGAATAATAAAATTCTGTAAAAACGTTCTTAAAGCACTTTTTTAAGCACAATCTACTGACGTAGTCAGTTTTTCTCTAGAGTTGCTTTTTTGTCAGAAATAATAAAAAATATATTTTTTTAAATGGAAATTATAGTTGACTATGAACTTAAAAAAATGCTGGCGTTTAATCCTTTCTAACGACATAAAGTTATGTGTATTTATTTTTAAGAATGAGAGAAATATTAGGTTTTTTATCTTTATATCGAAGCGGGCCTTGATTTTGTGTTGACCTATTTGTCTAATTATTTTTTATCACAATTTAAAATTCTATAGTAATATTTATCTGCATAATTAAAGGCTTTTGAAAAGGTAAATCAACATTCTATATTAGTATTACCAATTACAATTAAAACGCCATGGTTACAACTCAACTATTAGATGGAGAATTTAGAGAGAATTGGATTGGAACAAGGGGGGGGGGGGACATACCTTAGCCTGCTAGGTCCTATTATTTAACTTCTTTCAACTTTTTTATGGAGGAAATTAAAAGACCTAGTATATAAAAACTATTGGGACGAGAGAAGAATTATAGAAGGCTACTAGGCAAGCTTTTGGACTTACTACACCAGTTTCTAATAAATCGCTGTAACTCTGTGTGTACAAGATGTTTATTGTGTATTTAACAAGCAGGTGCTCAGTTTGGACATCTTTAATGATTTTTTTTAAAAAACTATATTCGTCACTCAAAAAATACGTTTTTTTAGTTTTGTTCTTTGTTTATTGTATCGATTTCAATTGTAATTACTAATACTAATATAGAATGTTAATTTCCTTTTCAAAAGGTTTTGATTATGCAGATAAATAATAATATACAATATAAAATTGTAAAAAAATAATTAGGCAAATAGGTCAACACAAAATCAAGGCCCGCTTCGATATAAAGATAAAAAACCCTAATATTTCTCTCATTCTTAGAAATAAATACCCACAACTTTATATTGTTGGAAAGGATTAAACGCCAGCATTTTTTAAGTTCATAGCCAACTATGATTTCTATTTAAAAAATTATATTTTTTAATATTTCTAACAAAAAGAGCAAGCATAGAAAAAAACTGACCACGCCACTGGATTGTTCTTAAAAATGTGCCTTAAGAACGTTTTAACAGAATTTTATTATTCCGCGAAATAAAAAAGTTATGGGCAATTTTCAAAATGGTAAAAAATTCAAAAAGACCCCGTATCTCAGTTGGCAGTGAAAATATCAACAGGCGGTTTATGCCACTAAACGTGGCTCAGGAATCGAGCCCATGACATATATGTCGGTTTTGCTCTATGTAGTCAGGAAATAGGTTTTCTCTGTTAAAACAGACCAATTTCGACCACCCTGTACATTGTGTATTAGGATTATTGCTTAAAATTGAAGGAAGGATTGAAATATGCAATGAAAACTTAGGTACTAGACTTAGACTTTATGGCCGACCCTGCAATGTACACTTAAATTTACTAGTAGCTATTAGGCATTTAAAAACCAATTAGAACAGTATCACAGTTTCGGCAAAATGACATCATTAAATGAAACTGAACATATCGATATTAATTAAATCAAATTGTTTAAGTGATATGTTCAAAAGTCAATAACTCGGAAACGATTGGTTTGAGGTGTATCTCGATTTTTGCTTAGAATTGAAGAGAGAATTGAAATATACAATAATTTACAGCGGGTTCCATTAAAAAAATGAAACTTTGATCTGCCACGACTTTATGAACGACCCTGTATACTTAAATTTATTACTTGCCAATATACATTTAAAAATGGTATAATTTTTGTGTTCAACTTTTGCGGTACCTTGTATATTTTACCTAGTAATCGACCGTTTCCATACATAAAAGCGACCCTGTATAATATTTAATACTATAGAGAGGAATTAATAAACTGTACTAGACCACCTTATTTATCATAATGTTTTTATTATACCGGGTGGTGCATCGACGTTTAAGTAATTTTAATAACAGATATAATTTCTCTTAAAAATGAAGTTAAAAAAAACTTCATTATAATTAATTTAATAAATATTATTAATCATTTGATATTTTATACTTAGATTACTAATGGGCATATATATTTCTCTAATAAATAATATGCATCACAGATAAAAAATACAAAATTCATGATTATATCTTCACGAGAATATTATAAAATCACCAGCATAAAACGAATAAACACTCCATTTCCTATTTAAGAAAAAAGAGAAATACTTCATTCATAACCATTGCTAACTAATAGATAAAACGGGGGGTAAAAAAATGTAAAACCCGTTTTCAAGTAATTGTTCTAAAAACTATCTTTACCTTTCAGTTTCGATGTGGAAAATGGGGCCAGTCCTGGCAGAAGTCCTCTGGATGGCAGCGCGTCGCCGTCGGCAGGTCTGGTGCTCCAGAACCTGCCCCAGCGGCGGGAGAGCTTCCTGTACCGGTCCGACAGCGACTTTGAAATGTCGCCCAAGTCCATGTCCAGGAACTCGTCGATAGCCAGCGAAAGGTAAGAGCTTTCGATTAACTTGGTACTAAAAAAGATTCAGAGTTAGTTGGATAATGTCACCATTGATATTTTTCACTTATTTAAGCTCTTAAATGCATAAATAAGTAAAACTAATCTAAAATTCAATGTCTAAAGTACCTAAATAACTAAAACAATTTTAACAGTTGCTATCGAAAAAAAAATAAAGTTAATGATGGCTAAGAAACAAAACCTCAGATTGAAAATTTGACAATGAAATAGCAATGAAAAAATAAAATCGAAATTGGAAAAATTCGATTTTTTCTAAGTAATTAAAGGGTTTCCTTTCAATTCCGAAAATAAGGCACTGTAGGGATCAACAAGGCATAACTTTTCTCTAAATTAAGCATTTTCTTCTGGTTTATCATATCGCTGTATTGTGCTTTCTTATTGGGGATACCGTGTAGGTATATATATACTCCAGGGTTGTCGCAACTAACGTCGCATCCCCACGCCTAACCGCCACCTGTTACGATCAAGAACATCTTCCTCTTCCAAGTTACGGTCCTCCATTGCCCTTCTGATGGCCTCATTCCAGGATCTTCTAGGCCGTCCTCTTTTCCTTTTTCCAGGAGGTGACCAGCTGTAGATACGGTAGGGCCATCTTTGGTATTCCATGCGTAGCAAGTGTCCAAACCACTTAAGGCCCCTCTGTTCGACTCTATCCACTATTGTCTGTGTGGCATCCATTTTGGCTCTGATTTCCACGTTCCTAACTCTGTCAAGTTTAGATACTCTCGCACTGCGTCTCAAATAGTCCATTTCGAGTGCATTCAAAGCTCACTTTTGTTCAGCTTTTAAGGTCCAAACTTCACACCCATAAGTTACTACGGACGAGGAATTCAAAGAGAGCGTAGATCAAGAAGTTGCCGATAACCTCCTCCATAGTCTAGACACTGCTAGAAGAGAAACAGCTGAAACAGTGGAAAACACAGACTTCCATCGATCTAGTAGGAAGGCCTGGACCCTTCTACGTAATTTAGGAGGTTCAACAAGACAAAATAGGCCAAGCTCTCAAATATCAGCTAATCAAATTGCAAATTATATAGCTGAGACATCTAGGTCTCGACGTGATAAGGAGCACACAATTGAGATTAAGAGGAAATTGAAGGAGTTAAGAACAACCACTCCCCATATCTCGGAATATTCACAGCCCTTCGAAATTAAGACATAGTCACAGCTATTAAAGACATCAAGCCGAACAAAGCTCCTGGATATGACAACATTCATCCAGAATTCCTTATTTACGCTGGAAACCCTGCCCTCAAGTGGCTTTGTAGTATCTTCTCGAGAATTTTATCAACCGGCAACATTCCAAAGGAATTAAAGAAACCTAAAATTATAGCTGTGTTAAAACCAGGAAAATCTAAAGATCAACCTCAGAATTATCGACCCATAGCCCTTCTTAGTTGTACCTATAAGCTCCTAGAACGACTTATTTTCAATAGAATAAAGGATAGTATCTTGGACCATATTCCAGTTGTTCAACTGGAATATGGTCCAGGCAGGTTTCATTCCTAAACGCAGTTGCTGTGACCAAGTCCTAGCACTTACATCTCACATTGAAGGAAATTTCCAACTTAATCTTAAAACCTCCATAGCTTTTGTCGATTTAACAGCCGCTTACGACACAGTCTGGAGAGATGGTATGGTTTATAAATTACTTAAAGTACTTCCTTGTCAAACTATAGCTCGAGTTATCAACAACATGCTAAGTAACCGATATATACAAGTATTTCAGGGAGAGAGCACAAGTAAACCTAAAAAAAACTTAACAACGGCTTACCCCAAGGCTCCGTTCTCGCCCCTCTCTTATTCAACTTATACATCTCTGACCTACCAGATACGCAATCTAGAAAATTTTGTTACGCAGACGATATAGCCATAGCAACGGAACATGAATCGCTATATCAAACCCAAGAAACGCTTACAAAGGATCTCGCATCCTTGAATGCCTATTTTATAAAATGGAGACTTCAACCCAATGCAAATAAGACAGGAGTGGCTACCTTCCATCTTAATAACAAGCTGGCGAATACTGAAATAAGCGTCCAGTTTGGTAGCACCACTCTGAGTAATAACAAATATCCAAAATATCTGGGGATTACTCTAGACCGTACACTCTCATTTCGAAGAAAACACCTAGAAAATGTTGCTGGGAAAATCAGAACACGAAACAACATTATACAAAAACTTTGTGGTACTTCGTGGGGTGCAAAAGCAACAATACTTCGGATCTCCGCCCTTGGTCTGGTATTCAGTGTGGCAGAGTATTGTGCACCAGTGTGGTTGAACAGCCATCACACAAATCTCGTAGACAGACAACTGAACAACACCATGCGGCTGATTACAGGGACAATCAGATGCACCCCTAGTTACTGGCTTCCAGTTCTGAGTAACATCCTACCTCCAAATCTACGCAGAAACGGGGCTCTTCTTAGAGAATTTGATAAAATAATAGCTACCCCAACGCTACCTGTTCATAAAACACTTCCTGCTTTACAGGTGAATAGACTTAAGTCGAGGAATCCACCTTTGCGAACAGCTGAACAACTAAAAAGCAGTAATTACAATTCTCGAGAACAGTGGCTTCAGTTATGGAGAGAAATGGTCGATGCGCACCTATATTCCTGGTTCAAACATAACTATTGCCAGACAGCGGGTACCCATCTAAACCGGAAAACATGGTCAACTTTGAATAGGATACGCTCTGGCCATGGAAGATGTGCGGATTCCCTTTATAAGTGGGGAAAAATACCTTCCCCAGAATGTGATTGCGGATCCCCTCACCAAACCATCCATCACATAACTAGAGAGTGCAACCTACGCGCTTATGGTGATGACTGGAGTGATTTTCTGGAGGCTTCTCCATCAGCTTTGGAATGGATAGGGCATCTAGATGTTAATATATAGTGTTCGTAAATACGTTTTTTATGTTGTCTTTTTATATTATACTTGTTTTTTTTTTATATTTACATTGTAATGTTTTCATTTACATTGTAGTTTATTTTATGTCTATGTTTAAGTGTCTGGTTTTTTTGCATGTATATGAGTCATACGATAAATAAATAAACTACGGACTCCACTAGGGCTCTTCCAATATGTACTTTTGTGTTTGGTCTTATGTTTTTGTCCCACCAGATGCCATTCAGTGCTCCTATAATCTTCCGCCCTTGTTCTATTCTAGCAGATACTTCTGATTTGTCCAGTCCCTTTCTGGTTATACGTGCCCCCAAATATTTAAACCATTCAACCTGTCTGAGCTTTGCATTGTCAGTAATAAAAATGTCAAATTTATCATCTGAATTGGTCACTAGATATTCTGTTTTATCAATGTTCACAGTAAGGTTCCATTCCGTGTATGCCGAATTCAACCTGCCCATCATGAATTCAAAGTCGTAAGCATCTTGAGCTATGACCACCTGATCATTGGCAAAATTCAATGTAACCAAACAGTCATCTCCTACAGGGACGCCCATTCCCCCACACCTTTTCTTCCAGTCCCTAAGAACCACTTCCAAATACAGATTAAATAAAAGAGGACATCGCTGTCGAAGGCCTTTAGTTGTAAAAATTACCTCAGACAGTTTGTTACCGCTCTTAACACGAGCTGTGTTGTTGTTGTACAGCACCTTAATTAAATTTATGAGACATTCATCCACATCAAGTTGTTCCAGTATGTACCATAGTTTAACTCTGGGGATGGAGTCGTAAACTTTTTGAAGGTCTACAAAAGCTAGATGTGTATCTTCTTCACGTGAATTCCGTTTTTCTATCAGTTGTTGGATAGTAAATAGATTATCTATACATGAACGCCCTGCAGTAAAGCCACTCTGCTCTTCACTGATTTTGTTGTAAGTAGATATTTCTAACTTATTCCTAATTATTTTTGTAAAAAGTCTGCTGAAGGTGCAATTCACACTAAGACCTCTGTAGTTATTCGGGTTCGGGTCTTTTCTGTTCCCTTTTTTATACATAGAAGTGATATAGGCTAACTTCCATTCATTAGGTATTTTATTCCGATCTACACACATCTGCATTATTCCGTGTAGGTATACAGGTGTTAAATAGTGCAAATATTTTCAGAGGTGGTATATTTCGACCTCAGGAACACGTCTATGATTTTTTTTTCGCAAAAAAAGATGTTGAAAATCGTGCTTTTCTTTTAAATTTCCCTGTACATTTTTCGAAAACTTTTTAGAACTGCCTGTTCACCGCAAATTTTCCCACGGTATAATTTCTTAATCTCTAATAATACCATAGTTACAACTTTACTCTATGGTTACGGCACTAAAAGGGATGCAAATAGAGAAAAAAGCCGGTGGCTCTCAAAATTTTTCCAAAAAAAGTCAATTTTTTTTAAATTTTCAAACTTAAATAACTCGGTTATTTTGGACTTATTTGAAAAATGGTAAAGAGAAAATATGTTTCTTTTCTTGAAAATATTTGCACTTATTTAAGACTCACCCTGTATAGTTCATACTCATTCAAACAACCATATTTCTTTCACTAAAAAGTTTATCTGAGGATTATGCGATTAGGTATATAAATATTTTATTTTTTTTATTCTCCAATGTAAATTAGCAATAAAACATTATTGTAGCACACGTATTTGCATATACGATCGTGACATTGAGACAAAGGATTAGTTTCATCTTGCTAATTATATTTGTTTAATTTTCTCAGTAAATTTACTTAAAATTCCGATGGTGACATTATTCTACTATGTTGTAGTTCTATCATGTTTTCATTTAGATATACGGAAAATACATTTTATTCTACTATACAATATACAATAAATATACAAAATCTCAGCTTTCTTTATTAGCGGCAGTTATTGAGATAGTAACTACCATTTTGATTAAAGTATCTTTTGCCTAAAAAATTTCCCTCTATAAAAATTTATTTATATATAAATATTATTAACATTCTACATTATCCACACGTTCTTAACTAGGCCATTACTACAAATATTACATTTTTATGGCTTATTTACACATACCCACATATCCATTTTTCGAAATGTATGGTTAGTTGCATTAATCACCAACATTTTTATAGATATCCTAGAATTCTTATTAATAATTTAACTTTAACGTCATTATATTTAGAGAAAATAGTAAAATTAAATATAGAAAAAAATATGTTAACAAAATTAGTTAAAAATGCTAAAATTAAAAATTTGTAACAAGCGCCATCTATCATGGAACTTCTGAAAATTTCCTTTTCATGATCAATAAATTTGAGATTTTCTCTATTTGCTCTCTCGTAAAGCTTCGAACACTGACTAACAGATGGCGCATCAATAGGTTTCTAAAATATTTTTATAAATTAAATTATCTAAATTTTAATTACCAAAAATCAATACAAGTTATTAGATATAGAAATATTACTAGCACAGTTTCAAAAAAAACAGTTTCTGTTTTACTTATTTTAACTAACACTTTTTCTACCTTTCTTATTGAACCTTTAATTATTTTAGATATCACTAACTTTCTTTTATTTTGTATCTTCCGCATTATATTATTTTGTTTTTAAAAAAATATATCTATGAGTTTACCACAAAATTTATTTTCTATAAAATAAAAAAAAACATAAAAACTAAAACATACTATCAGGATTACAAAAATTTATAATGACACTTCATCACATTTCCACCAATTATTTCAAAATCATATTCAATACAAGATAAATATATCTCTTCATTCGATATTTTTGTTTAAAGAATGATCTGATATTTTTTCAGATTCAAGGAACCAGAAAATATACTGGATCGATCGTATGTACTTTTTTAAAAAATTTGCTGTTTTTTTTCATTTCAAATTTTGTAGAACCTATAGTAAACATTAGTTTTTGATGCATGCAAATTTTGTTTAGTTTTTAGCAGACTCTCTACTGCCTAGCTTGGTATACTCTTTTCTTTATTTCAGTCTTTTTCTTGTATAAAATTGTGTTGTTTTTTTTTAATATTTCCATTTTTATATTGTCGATTTTGTGTGCATGTGGATTAAATATAAAATATTCGTACATATTGTTTACGTTATCAATAAATGTTGATCTTGACAAAATGGTGAAGGCGCAATATATTTACGTATTATCGGAATGATAATAAAATTAAATAATATATTATTAGTTATTTTTTATATAGTGATATAAATTAATCTGTGACACAATAGTACATACAAGTCTGACAAACGAATCTGAAACAACGGGGCAACGGTGAGGGGATCGCAATTTTCTAAAATCATGACCGATTTCATTCATAAAATATCCACGAGCTTGCGGTGTTTCATAAAAATATATCAGGAATTTTTATAATATTTTCCAGTAAAGTTTATAATATTATTTTACTTTAAATGTACCTACATTTTGTTTAGTCATTTGCCAAATATAGTAATATTTGTTAAAGCGTGTGTACTAATTACAATAAACACAAATCAAGTTAAAGATATAAAACACAATACAATATAACCCCGCCACTGGATTTTTCAATAGTAGTGACTGTTTCTACCTTAGTTTCTACCTTAGTTTCTACTATTCCTAGAGAGGGGCATAAAGTTGGGGGTAACGGCGGCAAGACGTGCGAGAATCTCGACCAATCAGACTGGTTGAATCCGGGATGCCATGATGAATTTTGTCAGCGTTGCCAGCTTACCCTAAGCGGACATTATCTTAAGGAAATACTTTACCTTTTATAATAGGCAGAATGAACGAAAACTGTTAATTAGATAAGTATACATTATTACAATAAGAACTACGTCAACATATTAGCATATATATAATTATGTATGCTGAAATGAACTAAAATATATTCAATTTATAGGTAATATCGAGCAACTTTGCTTTTCTATAATTAAACGTGACAACATCGACTTTTTTTGCCCGAATTCCTTCCGCTGTTTTTGATTCGTTTGTCAGATAATATATTGTTTTATTAGGAGTAAAAATGACACTTTCTGTGGCGAAGCTGTACGTTTGACATAGAGCCGAGGCGCAAAAAGCCATTTTTACTGCGAATAAAACATGCCTTTTTTTTCAAACGCCACAAATAATTATTTAAGCAATTTCAAACGTTCGAAATAATATAAAAAGATTTAAAAGTCATACCTTGTATGTAGGTATACAGGGTGGTCCGAACTGTATTCCGGAAACTTTGGCAGCATATTCTGCAGATAAAAATAAGTAAAAAAGTTCGTATAAATGTATGTCCTAAAATGCTTAGTTTCGGAGATTTATTTCGATATTTTCCAAATAATTTCTGCTGTAACGTCAATATTTGGATGAAAATTGGTGTCTGGGAGTTTTTTGACACGAGAAATTTGATTTTGATGTGAATATGCCTCCTACTAGTAGAGGGCGCCACCTACATATTTTTTAACTGGTTTGAAGAGTAATAACTTTTCGTCGGTACCTGTATAAAACTACTGAGTAAAACAATATACATTTACGACTTTTTTTACGTAAAAAATGTCTCTTGGTAAAAATCGCTACGAGTATTGGTTTTCGGGATATTTGGAATCGAAATTATCAATACCTGTCATCATTGACATAAATTAAACATGATGACATGATGAATAAATATAGTTATTAGACTGAGATCATAAATTTGAAAGTTTCTGTGCCAAAAGTTCAACAGAAACTGTTTTATGATTATTTTTTGCAGAAATGATTAACTTAAAAAAATTAAAATTTCCCAAATTTATTATTTCAGTGAAATAACTATCTAGGTGCTCAACGTGTTTATATTTCGTCAATAATGACATGTATTGACTATTTCCATTCTAAATATCTTGAGAACGGTTGCCCGTAGCGATTTTTACAAAGAGATATTTTTTTACGTAAAAAGTCACGGAGATGTATATTTTTTCCCTCGGTAGTTTTATACAGGCACGGACAAAAAGTTATTACGCTTCAAAATAGTTAAAACACATGCAGGTGACGCCCCCTACCAGTAGGAGTCATATTAACATCAAAATCAAATTTCTCATGTCAAAAACCTTCTAGACACCAATTTTCATCCAAATATTGACCTTACTTCAGAAATTATTTGGAAAAAATCGAAATAAAGATGGAACTTCTACACCCTGTATCTCTGAAACTAAGCGTTTTAGGACATACATTTATAAGAACTTTTTTACTTATTTTTGTCTGCATAATAGGCTGCCAAAGTTTCCGGAATACAGTTCGGACCACCCTGTATTTTGAGAAACTATGATTACCCAAGTAGCATTTTCAGGACTTGCGACCACATGTTTACTAAACACAACGTTGGATTAGTTACAAAAAAGAGTTAGCTCCGTACCTTGAGTACTAAAATAAATCTAAACGTTGTTGTAACGTTGTACCGACGTTGAACTAGTACTACAACAAAGTAAAAGCTTCTGCGACGTCGAATAAACGTTGTCTTGTAACCTTTTTTGCTTAAACGAACTTTAGGTGATTCGGACAACGTAGTTACAATGTTGGGCAATAAAGAGTTTTCCGACGTCACTTTCAGGATCTATTCCAACGTTATGCAAACGTCGTCTGTTTAAAATCCAACGTTGTTTAGATTTCCTTATTCTTACGTTGGTAGGACGTCGAGCCACTACCTTTTTGTAACTGTATTGAACCATAACCTTAAATCTTAAATTTTCACTTCATTGTTCTGTTCAGTCAGACAGTTCGGTGCTGCTTTTCTTTTTATAAAAAAAACTTAATTAAAATGGGACATAAGGAAGGTACATATAAAACTAAATTTAAATATACATCGACATATTACCGATACTTTATCCACTCCCTCGTTTATTTAGAATATAGAGGGCGGCACAAGCTAGACTCTAGGATGCCTAAATTAGGCAATCTTGCAAAATATGTGGATAAATATTTTTATCCCGAAATTGACAGCTTCTCAACATTTGACATGACAAATTCAGACAAATGTGACATTTAAACAGTCCCACCACTACAGTTTTTCCAGAAATACCCCAAAAATCCGCCATTTTGGCGCCAAAAACATTGAACAAACCAATCGCGGTACTTTATATATCTAGATTCTACCTCCTACTTGGCGCCATCTACATGTTTTAATTGTTTACATAATAACTTTCGTTTGGTACTTGTATAAAACTACTGAATAAAACAATATACATTTACGACTTTTTTTACGTAAAAAACGTCTCTTGGTAAAAATCGCTACGAGTATTGGTTTTCGGGATATTTGGAATCGAAATTTGCAATACCTCTGTCATCATTGACATAAATTAAACATTATGACTAAATATAGTTATTAGACTGAGATCATAAATTTGAAAGGTTCTGTGCCAAAAGTTCAACAGAAACGGCATTTTTTTGCAGAAAAATTTATGATTAATTTAAAAAATTAAAAATTTCTCAAATGTATTATTTCAGTGAAATAACTATCTACTCAACGTTTTCGTTTTCGTCAATAATGACATGTATTGACTATTTCCATTCTAAATATCTTGAGAACGGTTGCCCGTAGCGATTTTTACAAAGAGATATTTTTTACGTAAAAAATCACAGAGATGTATATTTTTTCCCTCGGTAATTTTATACAGGCACGGACAAAAAGTTATTACGCTTCAAAATAGTTAAAACACATGTAGGTGGCGCCCTTTACCAGTAGGAGTCATATAGACACCAATTTTCATCCAAATATTGACCTTACTTCAGGAATTATTTGGAAAAAATCGAAATAAAAATAAAACTTCTACACCCTGTATCTCTGAAACTAAGCATTTTAGGACATACATTTATAAGAACTTTTTTACTTATTTTTGTCTGCATAATATGCTGCCAAAGTTTCCGGAATACAGTTCGGATCACCCTGTATATCGAGAAACTATGGTTACGCTCGTTAAATTTGACACTTTATGTCAGTTTAACAACATATTTTCCATAGATAAATGCAACAAGTTTAGATTGGAAAGCCCGTAAAAATTTTGGGTCGCGAAATTATTTTGGGTCGCGACCGTTATACGCGATTTGGCGCTGCTATAGCGGTCGCTAAGAACAACGACAAACAAAAACAGAAATAATTTTCTCTTGTCAAAGTCAGAGTCTTCAAAAATCATAATAATCTTTCAAAATCTAAACCGCTCTCATTAAAGAAATTCCGAAAAGTGTTTATAGCGTCCATTTTCAAAGTAATAATTGCTATCTTGTGAGTTTAATTCAAGTTTTATTTACTCCAACCGGTGATAATTGTGAAAAAGTGGCATTAAAAACTTAAAAAGCTGTGCTGTGAACTGTGAACTGTGAACTGCAAAAACCATCGTGGATTGTGGCATAACGTCGGTTTCCAATGTTTCATAGGTATTTCATACATGCGTCCTTATATAAAATAAAGGTTCTTGTATGCAACACACTGTCTTTTATTTATAAAATTAAACGAAAATAATAATAAATTTGAATAAACAATATTTGGCGATATACTTCCGGAAAAAGCCGAACCGCTCCGAAATTTTCAAAAGTTTTGGGTCGCGACCGTTGCAAGAATAGCGCCAAATAGTGTTTACATTGTCCTTATGGGCACTTTCCAATCTAAACTTGTTTCATTTATCTATGATATTTTCGTACTTTCGTGCTTAGGCCAAGCTTAGGCCTAAAGGTGCTTTATTTTTATGCCTAGGCGTTAAAATGACTTAAGCTGAAACTAAATGCTACCTAAAATTACTTACTTTTTATATTGTCCTTTTATTTTATATTGTCATTGTTTTTATATTGTCGATCACGTCGCAAAAATTAGTACTTTTGTGACGTTTGAAAAAAAGCTAT